ACCACAAGATACACCTCAAGGCAAAGACGCACGCGACAGACCTGGGCTTCAACAGCACCAGGGGAAGGCAAAGGCGCATACTTACTGCGGCAAAGCGCGCGAAGGCAAAGGCAAGGATATTCCTGCGAGTCCAGATATTTCAAAGGCGCGGCGCTAGCAGGAAGGTCAACGCCAGACTCTAGAACTCAGACCTGAGAGCCAAGAAGACGCACGACGCAGCAGCAATGGGCCTGCCTGCAGTTCGAGCCCAGAAAGAGAGAGCGACAGCCGCAACCACGACAGGTTTTACGGCGGAGGGACGACGCACCTCCACAATCATGCTGCAAATCTGCGACAAGCAGGACCCAGTATCTTTCAACATACGACGGCAGATCAAGGAATGGTTCACCTCCTGGGAGCAGCAGCAGGAATTCCAAACGCGAGTACGCGCGGGCTGGTAAGCAGTCTACGCCAAGCTGAGTGTCACCAAGGCACGCACGCACCAAGTGTAGATCTGTGACAAGGCCAATGGGGGCGCTCACCGTGTTCATGGAGCTCGGCTGGAAGTTGACGGAGCCAGATGGCTGGACCGACCCAGAAGACAACGACTGGGCTCACAACCACAACGACACGGACATGCAGAGCCTCCACGACACGGCACATGGCCAGACGACGACAGGACTACGGAAGAAATCGAGTATACATCCTGGAGGGCACGGGCTGGCCAGCGGCGCACATGTACAGGCGGCGCAGCGCGCTTTGCGCTGGATGCGTCGCACAGGCAAAATCAAGGGGGCGGGCTCGTTCGAGAACGTCATCACGGGCAGCGGCTGGACTGCGGAACGGATTTTGTTGGTAAGCTACGCGCGCGAGGCAACGTGCCCTTGCTGCGCAGGGGCCGCGGAAGACCTGCTCCTGCGCTTCTACCAGTGCCCGAAAATTAACCCGGCGACGGACCTGACCACATGCAGCTGTGTACACCCTTGTTGTATGCGCCGCTTTCGAAGGAGCTCCACAAGGTCTTTCTGCATTTTCTCCCACCGCGATCAAGAAATGAGCGACCCAACCAATATGAGGCGATCCGACCTCATAACGAGACCGAACGCGGCAGGAAGTGTTAACCAGCTCGAATTAGATCGGCAGTCATTGTCTTTAAGACTGAGTCTTGAGGGTAAGCCGCTAAATGTCGGATCGCCCTCAGGGGGCCATATGATGCATAGTTCGTGACCACCGACAAAAAGATGCGCCCAACGTTGCGCGGACCGCGGCTACGCAGCCGTTTCAACAGTCATGCAGAAGCACGACACGTTAAGGCACGATGTCCTTCAAATGAGCCTGCAAGCTGCAAGGCAGACGCGAAATCGCGATGCACGACATCGGCCAGGACGTTGAAACAGGCGCTCATAAGCACGAGTTGCTGGAGACTGTTGCGCGAGAGCGCAGGTGGGAGGCTCGAACATTCGCGCTGAAGCACGAAACATGAACTGCGATGGTGGCTGTTCCCTGCGTCGTTTTCGCAGCGCGCACTGTCCTTTTTCAGGCCGACTGGCCGCCGGTCAGACGGCAGAGGACTCCAGAGGAGCAGGCCGCTCCCCCGCGGCCCAGGCAGACGGCGGTCAATACTCAAAAAAAAACTTCAAAAACTCCACGGGGGAGCGACCTCCGGGCCCCGCGCGCGCCGCGACCGCGCTCGCACCCGCCTCGCCGCGCTCCCCGCCAGCCCCTCTGCCATCGAGACGAGCGCGCTCACGGGCGAGCTGCCGTCAATGAGGCGGCCGCCCAGACCTCGGTGAACCTCTGCGCCGTCTCGGAGACCAACTCGATGCAGGCGTGACACGAAAAGCACTCGTCGGCGAAGAAACACGTATCAGCCCGCAGGCCTGGCCCACCGGCGCACGTCGGCAGGGCTGCACGCGACGCCGACAGCTCCGCAATTTGCATCTTGCCAAGCGATCAGCACGCCCATCGAGACGCAGGCCGGCATGGGACATGGGAGTCCACCTGGCAAATCACATGTTGAGCCACATCATCGTAGATGCGGCGAACCCTCATGAAAATCATGAAAAGCCCAATATTGCGCCGAGCCCGAATAAGCCGTTGAACCACCCCAGCATCATACTTGGCATCATTTTCTATGGTGGCCTGGGGAATCTCTGATGGGGCAGGACAGGACGGAGACGCATGGTTACGATGCTGACGACAATGACGCAAATGATCACGAGCCCAAGATAAAGCGAAGGACGAAGCTAACAGCTCCGCTTCAGCGGCGGTAGCGCAGAACGAAATATATCCTCAAGTATTTGGGAACGCGGCTGAGCGAGATCCCAGACAACATCTTGCCCGGCTCTCAGATTGGCGAGTGCTTGCGTTGCAAATAGCCCCCACATGTACGATGTACGTTGAAACCGCTCCTGCGCGATTAGGTTGCACGCCGCGGCCACGACCAGGCAGGAGACCACAACGAGTCAGACAAGGAGAAAGCCCATGAGGGAAAACAGTACCTGGGACCGCACGAGCAAGATCTGCCCGATACCTGGCGTCACACGGACACTCCCAGAACCGGCGCCCCACTGCCTCCAATGCCGCTCCACGCCGAGCGCAGGAACCACCATGATCATGCTGGGGAACACGGGTGATGTTCAGGGATGCCCGCAGCCCTGCTGAGCTGAGTGCCGGTCCGCCGAAGTGGAGTCGCGCCCCATGCGCGCGCCCCCGCGCTTGCCGAATGTCAGCTGCCCGAGCCCAGCAGAATCGCCGGGTCGACGATCAGCTTCGCCTGCAGCGACACATCGAAGCAGAAAAGCACGCAGGTCACGAAGTCGTCGCTGCACCCCCGCGGCCTTTGCAAGAACCGGCGCGGCGCCACGACCAACTCGAGTAAGCATCGCAGGAGGGATGCGAAAACGAAAAAGGGCGAAGATGCAACGCGCGACGTTGTGGACGTCGACCGAGCAACGCCCAGCATCCCGCAAGCGCGCCCCATTGCAAGAACAGCCGGGCAAGCGTTTCTGCCTCGCGCCTCCGTCGGGGCCGCGCTTGGCGAACCCTTGTGGAACAGGCCCTCCTCGAGACTCGTCCCTCCTCAATGCGCCTCCTCGATCCTCCTCCCTCCTCCATCCTCCTTGATCCTCATCAACCCTCCTCGACCCTCCTCGATCCTCGTCCTCCCTCCTCGATCCTCTGGGATCCTCGCTCCTCGCCCCTTCCTCTTCGATCCTCGTCCTTCCTCCCCGATCCTCATCAATCCTCAACTGACCTGCTCGGTCGAGAACGCTCGAGCCAGACAGGGCGCGGCACCGAACGTCGTCGTCGTCGTCGTCGTCGCCGTCGTCGTCGTCGTCGTCGTCGTCGTCGTCGTCGTCGTCGTCGTCGCCGTCGTCGTCGTCGTCGTCGTCGTCGTCGTCGTCGTCGTCGTCGCCGCGGGCGCGCGCCGAGGGCGCGGCGACGGGGCCGCCGCAGCCGCCCGGGGCGGCGCGCTGGGCGCAGGCGTCGGCGAGGCCACGGCGGGCCTGGGAGGGGCCGCCCGAGGGGCCGCGGAGGGCCGCCGAGGGCCGCGGGGGGCCGCCGAGGGCCGGCCGCGGCGGCGGCAGGACGCCGACGCCTCGCAGACGCCGACGACGACGGCGACGACGGCGACGACGACGGCGGCGACGGCGGCGGCGGCGACGACGACGACGACGACGACGCCGACGCCTCGCAGACGCCGACGACGACGGCGACGACGACGACGACGGCGGCGACGACGACGGCGACGACGGCGGCGGCGGCGACGGCGGCGGCGACGGCGGCGACGGCAGCGGCGACGGCGGCGACGACGGCGGCGAGGGTGTTGTCGCGAGCGCGGGTGAACGTTGGGACAACGGCGAGCGACGGGGGGCGAAGAACAGCGACGAGCGACGAGGGGAAATAGAGGATCGCTTCTGGAGGGAACGCAACGGAATCCCGGGGGGGAGAACCTCCTGCTCCCCCTCCTGCTCCCCTCGGGGCGGGGGAAATGGAGAGAGGGCATGACGACGACGACGACGACGACGACGACGACGACGACGACGACGACGACGACGACGACGACGACGACAACGGCGTGGACTGCGGGAAGGGACTGCAGGAAGGGACTGCGGGAAGGGAGGAAGGAGGGAAGATGAGGAGGGAGAGGGATTCGCAGGAGGGAGAGGGAAGATGAGGAGGGAGAGGGAAGATGAGGAGGGAGAAGGAAGATGAGGAGGGAGGAGGGACTCGCAGGAGGGGGGGTCAGGAGCAAACGGGCGGGAGAGCCAGGCGGGCGCATCGGACCCCGACGGGCGGGTCGGGCGGGCGGGCCCAGACGGCCGGGTCGAGCGGGCGGGTCGCTGAAGCGTCAGCCCTGGATGAATGGCGAGGCAGTCTCCAGCCTGCTGGGACGTCCCTCGGGCCGTCTTGGCGCCCTCTTGGGGCACCTTCGGCCCCTCTGGGCCGTCTTGGGCGTCGCTGGGGGTCGTCTTGGGGCTGTGTTGAGCCCATCATGGGCCGTCTGGGGCCGTCGTGAGCCTCTGAAGGAACCCTGCTGGGGCATGCTGAGGCCCTCCCGGACCTCCTTGGGCTGTGAGAGGCCTTCTGGGCGGTCTTGAAGCGATCCCGGGTGCATCATACGTAAGCCGTGCCAGACGCTCTGAAGACGAAGAAAGCGATCGCATTAAAGTCAAACAATGGAAGTCCATGATTTCTACCTCTTGGAGGATTCTCGGAGGTCCTCTTAGAGCGTTCTCATCTTGGACCGTCTAGGGCATGTCTTGGCCATCTTGGCGGTCTCATAGCGCCATTCGGATGTCAAACCTGTGACTTCGACGACGGTTGAAGCCGAAAGGACCCCGCCAGGGTGGATCCTAACGAGTGCGTTACAGCACTGTGGGGGTGAAAGCTATACGGTGTAAGCTAGGACATGGAATACATGTTGTGCAAGCTATGTGGTGTGAGCTGTGAAGGTGAAACCTACGTGGTGTGAGCTATGTGGTGTGAGCTATGTCGTGTGAGCTCCGCAGTGTGAGCTGGAGGTGAAAGCTACGGGGTGCAAGCTACATGTTTTGTTCAACGAGTCTCTCGCAAACTTCTTGGGGAGCTCTAGGCATGCCCCCGCTGGATCTGGGCTCGGCGATCTGGCGAGGCGCTCACCACTTGCGCTCCCACGTGGCGCCGTTCTCGAACTTGACGCTCGAGCCCAGCACCGTGCCCTCGGGGAAGGGCGGCTCCATCAGCACCTTGGCGCCCCTGACTACGCCGCGCTTCTCGACAATGGCACCGCTCTTGGTCTTCAGCGCGAAGGTGATCGAGCAGTGGTCCTGCTTCACCTGGAACAGCTCGCCGTGCGCATCCGAGAACCACTTGTCGCCACCGAGCTGGGCGCAGCCAGTCTTGGCCACGTCCTCATCGGTCTGCGTCGCGAGCGCGCGCTCACGGGCCCGCCTGCGGGCGCCCTTGGGGCGATCCTCCTCCGAGTCAACGGCGCCGCCTTGCACGAAGGCGAGCGCCATCAGCATCGCCGCCAGCACGCGCGCCATTGCCAGGCTGCGCAGGGCTCAAAGTGGGGCGTTATGTAGCAATTGGCGGAATGGATGGCAAGCACTTGGGCCAACGTGATTCATCGGAACCCAACTGGACAGCGGTCGCGCGCGCCGCGAACTGCAAGAGCCCAGGGCGCAACAAACCATCAACGGTTGCTTCTCTTTGTATTCTGATGGGCCACAAGCGAACCCTACCCCTACCCCCCACGATTTCTGTTCAATTCGCTCGGGAGCTCCCGAACGAAGTGAACCCCATCCTCCCCCTCAGAAATCGTGGGGGGTAGGGGTACATGTGGCCCCCTGTTTCTCTTGCCGGATAATTTCGCTGCGGGCGGCAGCGGCGGACGCGCCAGTGCCAGGGGGAGGGGGCTTCGAGCGGAGCCATCTCAACGGGGGCAACGACCCCAGCAGAGCACATCCACAGCGAAAGCAAATCAATTCAGCATGGTTGGCGTTTTCTGTAAGCACATGACCTAGGGCGTTGTTGCTGATACGCCTGAATAACTGAATAGATATGTTAGCCAGCATGGACCCCAAACAGTGTATGTCTGGCCATATGGGTTGTGCACTCTGGGTGGAACAATATACGTGGTGCGATATACGTTGTGAAATCTACGTTGTGCAACTTATGCTGTGCAACCAATGTTGTGCAGTGGGAGTGGTGCGGCCCATGTGGTACAATACATGTTGCGCAATATGCGTGGATCAAAATATGTGGAATCTATGTAGTGCAGTCCACTTTGACCGTCTTGAAGCTGTCCTCTCCACTGCTCGTGCAAACATCCCACCCTCCCACCCGCAACTTGGTCGCAAGACCTCTTACGACAAGACCGTGACGGTAGGTACCACATGGCACTTGGCCACGACACCGACGCCGACGACGACAACGACAACGACGACGACGGCGCCGCCGACACCGACTACGACGACACCAACGACGTCTCCAACGAATTCGACGACAACGACGAAGACGACGACGACGACGACGACGACGACGACGACGACACCGACGACGACGACGACGCCGACGACGACGATGACAATGCCGACGACGACGACGACGCCGACGACGACGACGACGCCGACGACGACGACGACGACGACGAAGGCAACGACGACGACGACAACGACGCCGCCAACGAAGACGACGACGACGACGAGGGAGAAGGGAGTACGACGACGGCGACAACGACGACAACGACGAGGGAGGAGGGAGGAATGCGACGACGCGAACGACGAAGAAGGAGGAAGGACGGCGACGCCGACGACGACAACGACGAGGGAGGAGGGAAGACGACGACGACGACGACGACAACGACGACCACGACGGCGACGAAATAGGAGGGACGACGACGAGACGCCGACGACGGACGACGACGACGACGACGAGGGAGGAGGAGGAAGGACGACCACGGCGACAACGACGACGGAAACGACCACGACGCCAAAGAGGACGACGACGACGAACACGAGGAAAGACAGAGGACGACGTAGGCGACGACGACGACGACGACGACGCGGGGGGAGGGAGGACGGCAACGACGACGACGACGACGACGCAAGAGCGCGCGCGCACGCTCTTGTTGAAATGTCGTGTTGCGAAACTTTGTGTTTTTGTAGGTTTCTTGGACACACGATTTTAAAAACCTTCCGAAACCGGTGGGTTTTGAACGATTTCGGCATTCGCGCGCGACGACGCGCGCGTCCGCACTTAGTCCCATTTTTTGCTGAGGATTCTCGCGACGGCACGCGCGCAAACACGTTCGGCAGATTTCGACATGCGCGCGCGAAGTCCGTTTGGTAGCATGTTGTGAAGATCTTGACAAACCTATGGTTTTCTCAAGATTCCGCAAGAGCTCGCGCGTAAACTTTTTTAGCAAATCAGTGTTGCGAAACCCTCAGTAGTGACATTCTACTGGCGAAGCTTTCGGCGACAAAACGCCAATCAAAAAATAAACGATTTCAACTAGAAATGAGTGGCGTAGCGTTGGTAGAAGCGCAGCTGTCGGATTGCGAAAGCACGCGAGCCCGCGCGATGCTTCATGCCCAATTAGGCTACTCCGAGAGAGGTGCGAGCAGCACGGTTGGCACGAACGAAGTCGAAAACCTTTCGGCCGCGAAGAACGACGATGCGAGCACGACCAGGAAAAGCAATACAATTCGCAAGGGCGAATCATTAAAACACAAGTCTGGGCACATAGCAATGCGACGGCGGCTATCAAGGCAAGCGTAACTTCACTAACCGCTGAAGGTCGCGCAAACAAGCGCTTGGCCGAACAAAAACACATGATCTTACCACGACGCCCAACCATGGAGAACAAATGGGGGCTCCTGCGATGCGAGCTCAGCACGTGGCCATGCGAGCCACTGTGGGGGGACGCGTGGCTTGCGAGCAAGTGAACTGCAAAGAAAAGCGTGCATGCGGGCCACCAGTTTTGATAGGTCCGTGCGTTGCAGGTGGGATGCCAAGAGGGCACCTCACGGTGGTTCCCGCGTTGTCCGTTTGAGGCGGTGGCGCTTTGTCGGGGTGTCTCCAGACACCCTGGGGCCCTCTGGAGCAGTGTTGGGGCCCTGTTGACAATATCTGGGGGCCTCCTGGTCGTGGGATGAACGCTGGTTCCCGTGTTGTCCGTTTGGCGGCGTCTCCAACCATCTCGGGGCCCTCTTGGGCAGTCTTGGGGCCCTGTTGGGGGCGGCTGGGGACTTCCCGGAGGCCCGTTCCAAGCTCGTTGGGGCCTCTTGAAAGCCTCTCGGGGGTCTCCTGGGGGCCCGTCGGGGCCTCCTGGGTGTTTTTTCTGGGCTGGGGAACCCGAAATGTAAGTCCCTGCCGCCTCTCTGAAGTTTTCCTGGGCATTCTTGAAGCTTTCGGAGGCTGTCTTCGAAGCCTCTTGCGCCGTCTCGAAAGCGTGTTGGACTGGTCTGGGCACTCCTGGGGGCCTCTCAGGCCGTCTGCGGGCGGCCTTTGGGGCCTCTTGCGCCGCCCCCGAACGTCGGGGAGCCGAGGGCGCCGAAACCCGAAAGACATTTAGAAAACCAGGGAAGACCAATAAATTTTGACACGCGGGGCTCTCTGGGAGGGCCTCTCAGGCCCCCCGAGGCGTCCTAGGAGCGCCGAGGGCCGTCTGGGCGCGATGTTTGGGGCCTCCTGGGGGCCTTGCGGGGCCTCCGGGGGGGTCCTTTTGCGCGGCGAGCTTGAAATGTAAGTTCCTGCCCTTTTTCTATATGCTTCCGTGGGGCGTTCCTGGAACCCTTGGAGGCCGTCTTGGAGGCGTCTTGGGCCGTCTTGAGAGCGTGTTGGACTGTCCGAGCGCTCTCTTGGAGGCCTCTTAGGCCGTTTTGGGGCGGCATTTGGGTCCTCTTGGTTTGGAGCGTCGGCAAGCCGAAAACGTGGAAATCCGAGAAACTTTCAAAAACCCACCGAAAACCAATACATATTGACACTCGGGGCTCTCTGGGAGGGCCGAATTCGGGGGCCTCCCGAGGCGCCCTGGGAGTTCCCTGGGCCGTCTGGGCGCGATGTTTGGGGCCTGCTGGAGGCCGCGTGGGGCCTCCAGGGGGTCATTTTGGGCGGTGAGCTTGAAATGCCGGTTGCTGCCTCTACTCTGGAGATATGTATGGGCCGTTCCTGGAGCCTTCGGACGCCGTCATGGGGGCCTCTTGGGCCGTCATGAGGGCGCATTGGGCTGTCTGGGCGCCTTCCTGGGGGCATCTGAGGCCGTCTTTGGGCGGTTTGGGGGCCCTTTTGGGCTGTCGTGGCGCGTCGGCAAGCCGAAGACGCGAAAACCCGACAAACATGCAAAAACCAAAGGAACACCAATGCATTTTGACACTGGGGGCTCTCTGGGAGGGCCACTCGGAAGCCTCCCGAAGCGTCCTGGAAGCCCCCTGGGCCATCCGGGCGCGATCTTGGACGGCCTGGATCGACCCGGCGGCGACTCGCGGCCCTCTCGGAACATCTTGCCGACCATCTTGGGGCCGCCCGCGCCGCGCGGAAGCGCGTCTGCCGAAATGGGGCCGTCTTCCGCCGTCTTCCGCCGGCTTCCGCCAGCGTTCCCCCCGCGGCCGGGAGGGGGCCCCGGGGGGTCCCCCCCCAGGCCCCCCAGGGGGCGCACCAAACGGGAACCCACCCTCAAGGTCGGGGAAAAAGATGACGCACAAAGGCGTCGCGCATGAGCGCGAACACGAGCGCGACGTGCACGCTCGAACAAAACGCGCGCGAATCGCGGTGAACGCGCGCGCACGCGCGCGCGAGGGCGATGGTAGATCCTGTAGTCACAGCGCGACGCAAGCTTGCGCTGCGAATTCGAATCTCGCCAGACGCGTTCCTGAGAGCAATCGGAAAAGCGGCGCGTGGCCATCGTTGCACGGGGCGCTCGGCGCCACAGCGCGACGCGATCATGGAACTTAAGCCGCCCGAGAGCGGGGGGGGCGCCGAGGGGGGAAAGGAGGGAGTGGAAGAGAGCGAGGATGGCGAGGGGGATGGAGGGATGAAAGGGAGGAGAGGGAGGATGACTGGGGAAGCGGGGAGTAGGAGGAGAAGACGGGGGAGGAGCAGGAAAGGGAACGGAACGAAATGGGAGGTGGAGGATCGCGAGGGGGGGGTGTAGGCCGCGCCTACCTCCTCCGGACTCTTCCGGGCCATCCTGCGGCGATTTGTGCTGCCCCATCGGGGCGCGCCGGGCGCTCTGCAACCTGTGAAGGTGACGGCGCGAACACCAATTCCATCTTTAGTCTTAGCAGTCTGGCGGCGCCCCGGGGGCGCCTTCACTGACCAATTGCAGCATTTGTTGCGGGCGCCCGTATTGTTTTCAAGCAGTTTGGGGTACCATTGGAGCCACTGGGCGACCGCATCAAGCTTCCGACCCTCGCGCACGATCACATTGAGCAACGTCGGCCGTCTCTGGGAGCTCTGAATATGACCAGCGATGAATATTGGAAGGGTCAAATGTTGAACCTTTCTTATCGTGAAATCGTCGTGGCGCTGGCCCTTCTTAGCGTCGCGAGTGCGGTTTCTACCCGTGCTTCCGTCGACCAACGACCCTGACCGCCGCCCTCGTTGGCCTCGAGATGT